CAGGCACCAGTACAGGCTGGGGGTTGACCTGCTGGAAAGCAGCTCTGCAGAGAAGGACCTGGGAGTGCTGGTGGGCAACAAGTTAAGCATGAGGCAGCAATGCGCCCTTGTGGCCAAGAAGGCCAACGGGATCCTGGGGGTGCATTAGGCAGAGTGTTGCCAGCAGGTGGAGGGAGGTGATCCTGCCCCTCTCCTCAGCCCTGGGGAGACCACATCTAGAGTACCGTGTCCATTTCTGGGCTCCCCAGTGCAAGAGAGACATGGCACTACTGGAGAGAGTCCAGCGGAGGGCTACGAAGATGATGAGGGGACTGGAGCACCTCTCCTATGAAGAAAGGCTGAGGGAGCTGGGCCTGTTGAGCCTGGAGAAGAGAAGCCTGAGAGGCGATCTCATCAATGTGTACAAGAATGTGAAGGGAGGGTGTCGAGAGGATGGGGCCAGACTCTTCTCCGTGGTGCCCAGTGACAGGACAAGAGGCAACGGGCAGAAACTGAAACACAGGAAGTTCCACCTAAACCTGAGGAAAAACTTGTTTACTGTGAGGGTGACCGAGCACGGGAACAGGTTGCCCAGAGAGGTAGTGGAGTCTCCTTCGCTGGAGATATTCAAAACCCGCCTGGATGTGATCCTGGGCAATAAGTTCTAGAGGACCCTGCTTGAGCAGGGAGGTTGGACTAGATGATCTCCAGAGGTCCCTTCCAACCTAAACTATTCTGTGATTCTGTGATTCTGTGATACCCAAGCACTTGCTCCCTAAATTCCCTCCTTCCACCCTCAGCCAGCACAAGGGCTGCCCTGACTCTATTCTGTGGTCCATATGGATAGTAGGGCTCCCAGAGCTGAGCTGTGCTCTGGCACAGACAAATTTTCCTGTGCAGCAAGTCTCAGCCTGGCTCCCACAGAAGCTGGTGGATAAGCTACTGCGGCCATCCTTAGTGTGGAGCAAAGCAGCCTTGTTGGGCTGCAGCATGAAGGAACTTCCCACCTGGCTGAGAGCACCCCAAGAGCCTGCAGAGCAGGGCAGACAGGCCAGCTAGCCCAGGACCTGGGCAGAGCAGAGAGAGCAGAAGTGAAGGAGACCATCTAAAAGCAAAGCTGAGCTGAATCTCATGGAAACCTAAGCCGATGTGCAAAGGTTTCTGTGTCCATATAGACAGAAAGGGAAGGAGGAGGAGCAGAGTCACCTGGGGATGGGGTGGACAGGAAGGGTGGCCTCAGGATGGGCCAGTCTTAGCTTGAATGTGAGAATAATGAGAGGAATGAAGGGAGGATGAAAGAATGGGGTTTTTGACACTCATGATGGAAGTAAACTGTGGAGTCCTCTCTGGGTCATGCTGGTTGAACTGGAGCACTCTGCAGCTGGCTATGAGGAGAGCATCAGCATCAGGAAGGGCACAACCAGCAGCACAAAGGTATCTGCTTGCACCCACAGTAGCAGAGACATGGAGAAGGTGTGGAAGAAAAGAGCAGCCATGGGCATGGAAGGAGCAGAGCAGGTGAGAGATGCAGAGTGGTTTTACTAATGGTAGAATGTGTCAGACGAGGGTTGGGTCTGCTGGAGGAAAGAGTTAAAGGCTTGACCCAAGCAGTCCAATGGACTGCCCAGAGCCCTAGCAGGGTTGTTACGGAAAGGCACGAACAAAGCGCTCTGATTGTAGGCTTCTGCCTGAAGGGCAAGAGAGGAACTGATTGGTTTGGGCAGCAGTGCCTGGATGTCCCCAGGTAGGGCTTGGGGACCAGTGCAGTGGGACTGTGATCCTCCCAGCTGAGTGATGCTGCTCTCAGCCGAGCTGACTGCTGGCAAGCCAGGCCAGGTATCTCTGCAACGATAAACACTTGCTTTTTAAAAGTGAGGCTTGAGGTTTCAAACTTCCACAAAAGAACTCAGAACTGGCCTGAATCCTTTGTGCCCAGAGTGAAAGCATTAGTGCAGGAGGAGAGGCTAATTACAGTGTTGTGCATGCTGTCCATCTAGGTAAACACATAATGCAATGCAATCCCTGGCTGCTAAATGGGACGAGAGCTGGCATCTCCTTCAGAGCTAGGAAGGGAGTGGGTTGCAGGGCCCAGCCCAGTGCGGTACCATCTGGACAAGAAAGGAGTTGAGTCTTGGCAGTAGAAGGGCAGAGAGGCTCCTGCAGCCCTGATAAGGGAGCAATGAGGCAGTGAGCACCTGCACCATGTGTCTGCTGTACACCTGGGAGGGGAGCAGCAGGAAAATATTCACCAATAATCCAGTAACCTTCAGGGTGAGGGTTGGGGATTAGCTAGAACACCAACTGGGTGCTGCAACAAACCTTACCAGAGTAATAGTCATGGACCAGAGCCAGCTCCCTCTGTGCTGGCCTGATGGGCTTCCCCTTTTTCCTGGGCTGGTGATCCCTGTGGCTGCAAGAAGAGTCCAGAGGTGCCTGCTGCTCTGGGACTGTCAGAAGACAGACCCTGGACTGTGCCCGGCCTCAGGGATGCTCCCTTCCGGCAGGAGCAGACGGTGCGAGAGCCATCCCAGAGTCTAGTGTCTCAGAGCTGCACTCAGACCCTGGGGCAAACTCGGGGCTGACAGAGTTGTTGTAGCACAGCCTGCTTTGGATACCACCCCCCCACACACCTCTCATATGGGGGCGTTAACTGGCATAGAAAGAGGGCTCTGACATGTCCCCAAGGTGTCAACCGCCAGCTTAGCAGGAGAGGCTGGAAGTCAGAGCCAGGTTGCTGAGGGCATCTAGTGCTGAACTCCTGGCACCCCACATGCCTGCCCAGGACCTATCTGTGCTCACTGCTCTGTGTCCCCAAGGTTGGGGGTAGAGTAGAGAGGACACGCAAGCACTTCTCTGTGCAACAGAGCTGGCTGTATCAGCTCGACGTCACTGGAATGGCTTTTAATCACCCAGCAGGGCATTTATTGGCAATGACTCTCAGGGTGATCCAGGATCTCCAGTGTTGTCTCACCTCCACTCCCCACCACCCACTTTGGCTGATGTACCTGCCCCCAGCCTGAACCAGTCCATCCTTGAGCCTTTGTACAGAGTGAGAGACACATAGGTCCTTCCCCCAGACCAGCCCAAAACGCCTACGCACTGATACACCTAATTCATCCGCCATGCTGCTCAACATCCTCACACTCCACTCGTTGTGCTCCTGGGGACGCTGGCTGAGCTCCCCAGCATCCTCCTGCCCTGGCAGCATGATGAAGGTGATCCTGCTCCAAGGGCTGCTGCTCCTCCTCCCCTTCGCAGCCCTGCTGCTTTACTGGTATAGTGCCACTGTCCAGTACTTCTGCAAGGTGGCCTTCTTTAACTGCTGGATTGTGGCCATGGCAACACTCCTCTCCCCCTATGCTGCTCTTCGGGGTCGCACTGTGGAGAACATGAAGTGAGTACAGCCTGGGGTTATGTTTCCAATACAGAGATATACTGGGCTTAGATGCGTTGGAGGAGTTTGTGCTGCCTTGTGGACACATGCTCTTTCCTGCCCTGGGCATACCTATTACAGCAAACAACATGTGTTGTGTCCATGCGGTGAGGCCACGGTTCAGCCCTATAGCTTCAGTGAGGGCTGTGGTCATGTCTGCGTAGTGGTGAATTATGCATCTGCCTCTTCTGATGTGGTGAAGAGGTGCTGGCCATGGTGTGGTGAGGGAGGGTTAATGCTATGAAGGACGTTGTCACCTGTGTCTAGACTAGCTGATCCTTGGAGGATGAGATAGTATAATAGGGATAACTCTGGCTCATTGCAGAGTTGGGGTCATCAGCTGGGTGGCAGATGGGGGGAGCTGGAAAGGTGAGGGTAATAATCATTAGCAGATTGATCATCAGCACATGCACACATATTTACATTTCCCAGGCAATGGGCCACATCTCAGTGAAAGCTTTGGGGACTGGACTTTGGCAGAGGAACTCTGGGATTTCTCAGTGCCATCAGCTCCTGGGCATGATTCAGTTGTGTTGTGGCAAGTCTTGTTCTGGTGTCACTCTGCAGCAGACAGCTGTCAGCTGCACTCCCAGGGAGTGGTGGTAGTGGAGATAACATCACTGTAACACAGGAGGAAGGTCTAGTTGCTTTCAAAGGTGTTGCAATCTTGTTACTGGGTTTATGGGCATGATAGCATACCGAAAGAGATATAATTATGTCAGAGTGAGGGATGTCTGAGCCTATGATATTTGCAAAGCTTGAGCCACCATCTGTTTGTGCTGATGGATTTTGTGCCCTCAGCAGGAGTGTGTTCAAAAATGTGATGAGTAGTCTCTCTCTCCCTTATCCTTTCTCTGCAGACATGTCATGCGCATATACACACACTCTGCATGGTATCCAAAGGTGCTCCATGGCATGAACATTTCCAGCTTAGTGGAAATACCCTGCATGATGCAGCCTTGAGTCACAGCTGCCTTATCTTGTACCACTGACACCTCACAGCCATCTTCCTCTGGAGCAGCATGCCCAGCCCTGTCTCCTCCTCCTCAGCCTCCAAATCACAAAGCCTCCAGCTTAGAGCAACTTCCTGTCATTAGTCCTGCCTTTAGAGCACTGCCACATTGTATTTTGCTTCTCCCCAGCCACTGCATCCCTGGGATCTCTGAGCCCACATCTCCCAAGCAGTCCTGTGACACAGTGTAGCTCTCTCTAACCACCATGCATTTCCCCTATTTCTTTCTCCCTCCATGCCTACTTTTACTCTCTCCTCCCAAACTTCTCATCCTGGTGCTGAGGTCTTTCTATCAGGTCTGTCCACTGCAGATGCTGCCGGACTCCCTTGGAACATTTACCCCCGGATGTCCGGTCCCTCATGTTGATGCTCTCTATACTGCAAGCCAGAGAGTGTCCCATTTCAACCGTTTCAATACCAAAAGTATTCCAAGTTTTGCTTCTGCCATGAGTGCTGCAATCCCCATTGCTCCACCCTCCCCCATTCCTCTTGGTACTCTCATATTCAGTGTCATCCTTCATCAATGCTACCATCCTGATGCCATCCTTCCTGTCCACCCCTCCCTGAACAGTGACTGCAGTCTTCCTTGTTTCCTTTCCATCAGTACAGACGAAAAATCTATGTCTGTTCCTGATCCCTTCTGGCACAGTACTGATATGGCTCCTGTACTATGGCCTATCTTGAGCCAAAGCTCTTGTTCGACAGCCCTCACATGCAGATATTGCAGTTGTCCTTCTCTGGCCTTGGTAGAGCTCCAGGCAGAGCTGGTGCTGTCACTTGGCTGGCTTTGATTTTGATTATGTAAGTGCAGTCCTTTTCTTTGTCTCATCCCAGTGTTCCCCTTGCCTTTGCCATCCCCTTGCTTATCTCATTTCCTTTCTATTTCTTCTCTGCATAAGGCATGGTGTTGCATGAGTCTCTCCTGCCTTCTCCCTGAGCTGGCTTTGTGTTAGTCACGCTGCAAGGTTATTTCCCAGTTTCACAGCTGGAGACCACATCTTGGAAGTGTCCTTGTTCTATGGCTACCTTCCTGCAGACTACTCTTCAAAACTCCTGTTTGCAGACACACTTATTCAGCCTTCAGCTACCTCTACTGGGAACAGGGCTAATCCAGGATGACCCCTCTCCATAGGCTCAGTGAAGCTATCCTTTGTCATTTGCTCTAATGAAAGAAGATGAGCTGGTTTTTCCCTCTCTACCTTCATCAGGAGCCTCTTCCACCTCTGTCTGCAGCAGGAGGCTTGGTGCCTGCAGCAGTGCACTTTGCTCTGCCTGCTCTCCAGGGACAGTCCCACCTCTTTTAAATAGTGGCACATCCACAGCCTTATAGACCTGTCTCTTGCAAGGCTATTTCTCTGCACTCCCGTCTTCTGCATCCATCCATCTACAGCTCAGCACCTCTTGTCTGTGATATAGCTCCCCTTGCATTAGGTATCTGCAGTGAAGGTTCCTCTGCCTGAGCCAGGTGTCCTAGTTTCCCCACTAGAACACAGAGACCTAGCTGGGCAGTTAGTAGATCCTGAGGTGAGGTTCACCTGGCCAGATGCAGTTGGCTGCACTTGGATGTGATGATTTTCACCTTGGCTGCAGACACACACATCTCATCCCTTCTGTTCTTGCTCTTCCATCGTCCCTGGAGGTTGAAATTGTTGTTTCCTCCTCTTCATTTCTCTTTCGTTATCTCACCAACTTATGCTGGCTGTTCTACTTTGTCAGCAGCTCCACTTTCTACTGCTGAGGCAGGAGATGGTATCACCTTACTAATAGTTACAAGGTTAGCTCTGAACTGTGCAGGCTAGAAATGTGCTTAGAAAAGCACAGGACTGCACAGCACAGCTGAGACTGTGAATGATCATAGGCCTACCAGAGGACATACTATTTACTCATACAGACTAGATCTAGCCCAGCCATATCATACCTTGCTTCCTGAGTGATTATGAAAGGCTAGAAAAAGTTAAGTGGGTCCCCTCTGTGCTTATCTGCTCCCCACACATGTTCTTCTGCCTTAGGATCTTGCGTGCTGCTATCCTGCCCCTCAAACACTTCTTTGGCATCAAGATGCAGGTGTGGGGATATGAGCATCTAAACATCAAGGAGCCCTACGTGATGGTTTGCAACCACCAAGCTTCCCTCGACCTCATGGGTATGTGCAGGGGAAAGGCGGGACTCACTGCTGCGTGGCCAGCCTTTGGGGTGCTCCAGGAGCAGATCAGGCTCACTCTGGAGAGTTCCAGCTAGGCCAGCACCAGGATTTGTACAGGACAGTGCAATAGGCATGGGGACGAATTGCTGGTGGGACAGGAGCTCATGGCTGTGGGCGTGCTGCAGAAAGTGGGACGGGATAATCGAAAGGGTTTCCAGGCTGGCTACAGACACAGGGCTGAATGAGCCTGGGGACCACTGAGCACGGACTGATCCTTGCCTCTCCCTTGCATTCTGCAGGCATGGTGGAGATCATGCCTGACCACTGTGTGCCCATTGCCAAGAAGGAGCTCATGTACATGGGAACTGTGGGGTGGGCCTGCTGGCTCAGCGGCATTATCTTCATTGATCGCCAGAAAACAGGAGATGCTATCGATGTCATCGCTCAGACTGCCAGGACCATGCGACGTGAAAATGTAAGGGGGACCAGCAGCAGAAGGGGACTAGAGGAGCAAACACAGTGGTGCTGTGAGAGCCTGGGGAGGTGCAGGGAAGAGGAATATACTGTGTCCCAGGGTGATCTGGTCCCAGGGGAAGGGAAGGCAATGTTAGCTGGGGTTCACATTCCCACCTCTCCCTGTACTCTGCAGCTCCGGGTGTGGATTTTCCCTGAAGGCACGAGGAACCGGGACAAATCCATGCTGCCCTTCAAGCGTGGAGCTTTCCACTTGGCCGTGCAGGCTCAGGTAAGGCCCTCTTTCTTCTCCATTCCTGCATGCCAGGGTGAGGCGGGCATGCACCCTGGGGTGGGGGGTATATGGAAGGTTAGAGTCTTCGGGGTCTGTAGTGCCCTGGGATGGGTACACCACTGAGCAGGGCCTCAGGAGGTGACAGTGCCCTTTGAAGCCTGGGGCTTGGTGGGAGATGGAGTCCCACAGCTGTTACCTAAGGAGAAAGGGGATCCGTATGGAAGATGCACCTGACCCTCCATCTCCTACAGGTTCCCATTATACCCATCGTGATCTCCCCATACTGGAACTTTTACAGCTCTAAGGATAAGAAATTCATCCCTGGTAAGTGGGGGACCAAAAGCACCATTGCCTGAGGGCAGAATTGGCAGCATGGATGGGGCATGTAAGGACTGGAGGTGTCTGGAGCTGTGGGGAGGCAGTCAGCAGCTGAGGATGCTAGTGGGGAGACCTGGGTCCTGGCAAGTTTGGTTAACAGCCTCATTGGCCTTTCCCTTCTCTCTCCAGGGACGTGCACCATCCAAATCCTCCCAAGGATAGAAACCCAGGGTCTGAGCCCAAAGAATGTCCCTGATCTGACAGAGACCGTCCGCAAGGCCATGGTTGATGTCTTCTCTGAGATGTCTGCAAATGATTGTGGGAACCAGCGCTCTGAGCAGCCTCCCCTCCCATGCAGTGCTGGGGCCAACGCTGTCAAGGAGACAGGCAGCCCACAGCGTGAGGAGGACACAACCAGCATCAGTGATTAGGTAGAGGAACAGAGCCCCTCAGGCATATAAGGCTAAGCCATGCTGCCCTCTGTCCCCTCCAGACATGTCCACCGGGCCTGCAACCACCTTGGGAGCCTGCAAGTGCAAGATGTTGTCCTATGGCCTGGTACAAGAGGAAGCCGAACAGTGCAGGATGGGTACCAGGCAGCACTGCAAAAACAGGGCAAGGTGCCCTAGGAACCCTGCTGCAATAGCTGTGCATCCCTTCCCTGGGGCAACATTATGTCCCCCCAAGCCTGGTGTCTGTGGCTGTCCTGGGGTAGCAAGGTCAGCCTAGCTCCTTTGCCCAACAGGATGGCCTCCCATCTGCACATCAAACAAGGGGAGAGATGTTCTAGACAGGGAGGCTTGGACCCTCTCCTTGCTGTAGCAAGGACATCATGACCCTCTTGAAGCACACCAGTCCCTTCAATGCCACATGCTACTGCAGAGACACATCACTAGTTACAGACACCACACCAGGGACACACAAACCTGGCAAAAGTCACCTACCCTGAACACACCTGAGATCACAGCCCTGCAGAGCCTACACCTCTGGCTTAGCTGAAGGATTATGCAGTTGTTACAGCACAGGCTGCGAGTGGTTCTCCAGCCTTAGGGATTCAATGCACCATTTTCCATCCTTGTTTGTGTAACTCGGAGTAGGGTTCATCCTTGGGCCTCCTGGGCCTGGGTTGCTTCCTGCAGAGGAACCTGCGAGCCACAGTCCTCCTGGCAATGCTGTGCAAGTGCAGCCACCTCTGGAGCAGGGAGCAATGACCAAGGGTCCAGAACTCAGTGTAAGACCTGGAGGAGGACAGGAGATAAAGGTGTTGTTGCCACCTGTGTAAAGCTTTCTCTATGGTGAGCTACAAGTGATAAGGGTGTAAGATTAAACAGTCCATACCTGTTGGGGTATGCATGGAGCCCTGCCTGAGCCTGGGGCACTGAGGGACGGGTGGGGAGGGGGAATCCTTCCCCTATTACTAAACTGGGCCCCCAGTTCACAGCACACAGCACATGCCTATGAACTCAAAGCTTCTACTCAAGACATAGGCAGCGGTAGTGTGAAGAACATATGGTAGGGTGAGAGTTACACTGGGGAGGGCCAGGTTTACCCTCGAGACAGGAGCCCTCACCCACTCTTGAGGTAATGCCCTCTCTCCTGCCTTGGGGACAAGCAGTAACTGCAGATTAGGAGCATTAACAAGGCCTGGAAACCTCAGAGGGGAAGAGGTGCCTGGCTAATGCCCAGCTGAAGCAGGAGGGACTTGCACATCCTTATGACCTCTGGACCCTGGCACAACTAGACCCAGCCTTTTCACCTGCAACTATCAACCAGCCCTGTGGGGTTCTTCCAAGCCCCTGATCTCCCCGGCCCATTCCCTGCAGCCAGGCAGGTCTTTTAGGACTTTCTGGCCCCTTTCCTGCAGAGCAGCTCCTGCCGCAGCTGCTACAAGATGACAGCAGGGAAGAGGGAAGGGTGATGTGTGGGTACCCTCAGTGCTGGGAGCGTGGCAGACAGGGTTCGCCTCCTCCTGGGGCTTTACTGGGGCCTCCCCAGGGCAGAGAGAGCCCAGGGTGGGGCTACTCATGGCCCTTACCCGTGTCCATGTGCCAGCTGTCCTCTGGCCTGGCCCCCAATGAGGACTGTGCTTCGTATCCTCTGTTCCATGCTAGGACCCCATGGTGAGCAGGGCCCTCCGGTGCCTGGAGGCATCCTCCAGCACAGGAGACCTCTGCACACTGGTGCAGCTGGCCTACATCTCTGAGCTTGCAAGAACCACGGAGTGGATAACCTTCTGCAGACCCTGGCCCAGGACGGTGCCAGCAACACCCCTGAAATGAGCTAGCTGTCACCAGCCAGGGATTTATGTGCTACTGGGCATGGATGTGTCCCAAACCAGCTATGTTAGGCCCAACCCTCTTCTTGTCTTGCTCTGAGCCCCCAAGGGTCCCCCACAGTGCTCAGGGTAAGTGGTGCCCCGAGCAGGCATGACATAGGTCCAATGTTTAGAGACTTCAGCAGTGAACCTCTGAGAAATTATACTGAGGATGTGTAACAGGGCATTTTAGGGACATAATTTCTAATTTTCCTAGCAGGGCAGCTTTTTGTGGAGACAGAAATAAGCAGCTCCCTCTTCCTGGTGCTATCCCAGCAAGTTTTCAGGTTCTAGCTCCAGATGATGGTGACTGTTGCCTTACTTAAATAAAACATTCAAAGCATGACTCAATGAGGGCACAGCTACCTGGTTTGACATTGTTCCTGCTCTCAGGAGGGACTGGCTTGTTTCAGAGGAAACTGAAAACGCTGCAAAAACCAGTCCTCCCTGCCTTCCAGGGCTCCCCACGTGCTGCTTATTCTGTCAACTCTGAACTAGCACTCCCCATTCCTGCCCGATACCTACCGCCCTGGATGTAGTTTGGTTGCCCAGAGCCTTGAACCCAGCAATGGGTTGGGTGGTTAAATATTATCCTAGCTGAATGCCCGCCTCTCAGCCAGAGAACTTATTGGCTTTTGTTTACCCCCTGGATGGGAGGCAAAGGCCCTGTGAGCAAAGCAGTTTAGCAACAGCACAGGCTGGCTTCCAGCAACGAGCTCTGGGAATGGAGGCAGTCCCAGTGAGGGGGCTGTGGGTCCACCTCATTTCCAGGTGCTCCCCAAGCACGAGAACCTCAATAACCCTGCCCTGCCTGCTGCTTTATGTCCTACACCTCACAGCTGGAGCAACTGCAGAGCCGTAAGCCCTCTCTGTGTCTGTCTGTCTGAGAATGGTGGGAGGGTGTTCAGTCTTGGCTCCCTGGCAGTGCATGGTGGGTGATAATCTTTCCCATGGCTGTGCTTGCTGGCCAGCGTGGAAATGCTTGGGGTGGTGGGTTGTCCCTGCCCATGGGGGTCGAGGACTTGGCACCTGGGGCCAGTGTCTCTTGACTGGTTTGTTGTAGGTGTAACCTCACAGACAAGCCGATGCATGAGCAGAGCCTTTCCTCACTCAACCAATTGATCCCTCAGCCATTTATCAAGATGTTTAGGCAAAGGGGGCTCTTCTCCTGTCTGTGCCCTGGCCGTTATCTCTGGGCAGACCAAGGGAGAGGCCAGGCAGTGGCAGAGCCTTGTGGCAGTGGCATTGCCTGTGTCCAGGGCTGACAGTGTTTCAAAGAGAGTCTGGAGTGGAGGGAGCACTGAGCGTTAGTTAGGGAATCCTTGGGTTGCGGCAGTCCCCTGCACTCCTTCACTAACGAAGCAGCCCCTTCCCAGGCGCTACGTGGTGCTGTTCCCCTCTGTACTCCACTATCCACATGTGGGCAAGGTTCATGTTCACCTCCTGGACATGAATGAGTCTGTCCGGGTGACCCTCCACCTAGCGAGCAGCCACAACATCAGTAACTTCACCCTGGAGGAGAAGGGGACGAAGATCCTTCACCTGAACTGGCCCCAGCTCTCCAACGTGAGTTGCAGCCCTGTGGCAGGGCTTAGGACCTCGGGAAGGGATGCTGAGCCCTGTGGTGCTGGGTGTCCATCTCCTACCCAGCACCAGATCCAGGCTGGGGGAACTAGGAGGGAACATAGAGCCTGCCCTGGGTGGGCAACAGTTGTCCTGGAGCTGAAGAGCAGAGGGACATGTAACACATACAAAGGCCTTGTGAGCTGTATAGGCATCATCTTTGCATGTGCACCAGTTCCTGGTGCCTGCATAGGGCAGTGGGGTTGTGATGATGTGGGACAGGTATGATGACTCACCAGCACCCACTGTAAAGATCTTGCACCAATGTCTGTTGTTTTCCTGGGGGCAGATTTCTGCCCTGTCTCCAGAGGAGGAGGAAGTTGCACACCTGCACATCTCAATCCACGGAAGTTCCCTGCAGGTCTCTGAGCAGAAGAAAGTCCTGGTGAAAGCCTTGGAGCTGGGAACTTTGATACAAACAGACAAGGATGTCTACAAGCCTGGACAAACAGGTGAGGGAACTGGTACTGCTGGAAGAGCTAATAGGCTCTTAGGATGGGATTCCCAGGTTTGGGTCATGGAAGCCCTAGCGCTCACTCCTGCTCCTGTGCTTGCTCTTTCCAGTGAAGTTTCGAATTGTTCTTTTGGATAAAGACTTCATTCCCAGCAACAGCAAGGTGAGACTGGTTTGGGGTGCAGCAAGTTGCATAGAGCCAATAGGACTCCCGTGCACTGAACACGACAGGTCTCAGCAGCAATGGGAGAGACTTCAGTGTCACCATGATCATGGGGCAGGCCAGTTCAGGGAAAGGGGTTCCCCAAACACCAAAGGGATATGGGAAGCAAGGAGGGGAAACATAGCCTCCAAGCACTCCCAGTCTTAGTACCCAGCGTACAGCCCAGGGCACTGCTTGCTTTTGACACTGGCACAGCAGATGAACCCCTGCCAGCTGCGTGGGACCTATACACCTTCTCTTTGCTAGCCTTCTCTTGTGTGGAAGTTTTTGTACACTATTATAACCCCTACTGGTTTTAGACTCCTAGTGTTAAGCAGTGCTGGCAGGTCTAGTTGCACAGCTATTGCTGTTTGGATAATGCAGGCTCAGTCACTGCTCGCTTCCTACCAGGTTGGTCAGAAAAGCCATTGTGAAGGCTCTTGAAGTGACAGTGGGAGGTGGGTAATGACCTTGGCTCCGTGTCTTGCCGATACCCCAGCCCAGTGATGCCTCGAGCCCAGCAAACAGCTCTGCAGAGGCCAAGCCTGGATCCCACAGGTTCAGCCAGCTACAAGCTCGTTCAGCCAGCTACAAGCTCCCTCCACCGCCCAGCCCTCTGAGCTGCTCCAGCACTTTGGCCATACACTCCCTGACTGTTCTCTGCTAAATTATCTCTCTCTCTCTTTTCTTTGCAGCTTCCCTTTGTGGCTGTGCAGGTGAGTTGTGCTGTGCCGACTGGCCAGCTCCTGCAGGAGAAGCAAAAAGGGCGGCAGAGAGTGTGTGGTGCTCAGAACAAGGAACAGAGACAGGGAGGGCATCCCTGCTGCAGGTGGCGAAAGGAGTTGAAAGGAGGGGAGAGAGGAGCTTGGGTATCTCGTCCGCATCTCCAGCCCCTTTGCATCCCTTGACATCTGACCACAAGGCAGGGGGTCCCCAGAGGAGATGATGCTTTGGAGGAAGTTACACATGTGAAGGAGGGAGTGACTATTGCCTCAGAGACTTTAATTCAGTCCGGAGAATCCTCTGAGCTCCTAGTCCTTCCTCAGGGCCAGGCTAGAGCATCCTCTCCAGCCAGCTCCTGGCGCTTTAGCCAAGCTAGAGCTCCACTGAAACAGTGTCACTGGACAAATGTTTCCATGGGAGAGGTGGTGGCTTCAGGGCTGGTCTGAGTGTGACAGCAGGGCCCGAGCTGGGTAAAACCTCTGCTTCTTGTGGGAAAAACAGAGGGACTTGAGTCCTCCAGGTTGTCAATCCCCACCACTCACCCCATCTTCAGCCCTTCAAGCTGAAAAGGGGGAGTGAGGGGCTGATAAGGCATGTTTATGTGTGCAGGATCCCAGAGGGAATGGCGTGGCACAGTGGCAAGATGTGAGCCCACGGCAGGGCATCGTGGAGCTGTCCCTCCCACTGTCTGCAGAGCAAGCCCTGGGCGCATATACCATCAAAGCAGGGGGCAAAAGGCACTCCTTCAGAGTGAAGGACTATGGTGCGTAGAAATGAAGGCTGGCACTGCATGGGACATGGGAGTGGGAGCGTCACACATCCCTGTGGGCAGTGAGTGGGAGTGGCGGGAGTTTGGGAGTCATCACAGGGGACGGCAAGAGGCTTCAGTATGAAGAAATCATCACAATCCCATTCCCTGTTGCTATCTCCCCCAGGGCTGCCCCACTTTGAAGTGGCCATTCAGCTACCCCTCTTTGTGACAAAGCTGGACAAAAGCCTCCAGCTGCAAGTGTGTGGCTGGTGAGTCGCAACCTCCCCATGGCAGGAGGGCTGGCTGCTCCTGGGAAGATGCTCCCCACTTGCTTGCTCTCCCAGCAGCCTTGCTCTGCAGAGGAACGACAGCTCTCCTGCCTGCTCACCTTCCCACTCCCTCCTAACAGGTACCCATCCAGGAAACCTTTCCGAGGAAGGGCTGAGGGCAGCCTATGCCAGCCCTACCAACAGCATTGGTCCTCGGTGGAACCTACTAAGAACTGTGTTGAGTTTATGGGCCAGGTGAGGGCAGAAGGAGGTGGGAGGAGGCGCACGGGTGGTGGTTCTGGAGATATTTCCCCAGCTTGGGATACTTTGGGCTTGAGGATGGTGATGATGACCACGCGCATCATTTGGGCATCACTAGGAGATTGGCAGAGGAGGGTGAGATCCAGCTCTCATGTGAAAAGCTGTAAACTCAGTCATCCCAAAGACAGCAGAACCGTGCTGTGACTTTTGGAGTGGTCCTCGGGCCAAGATGGAGAGAGAAGGAAGCAACAGGAGGACAGACAGCCATGCAACCAAGCAACATACTAACCCCTGGGGAAAATCTGAAGGCTCCCAAGACTGCAGGATGGGACGGAGGGAAGCAGCACCACAGGGGCGAGTGGCAGCAGGAGCCTGTGGCCGAGGGCTCTGCTCTTCTCTACTCCAGCAAATGACACTTAAGGGCCCAGATGCCGGGCTGCTGCTAAAGCAGGTGCTTCTCTCCCACAGACTGGGAAGAACGGCTGCTTTTCCACAGAGGTGCTGATGGCTTCCTTCAACCTGACCAGCTTTGACTATGAGAGACGCCTGTATGCTTATGCCTCTCTGCAGGAAGAGGGGACAGGTAAGAGCAACTGTACCCACTCAGCCACATGGTAACATCCTGAAGCTGTGGCTCCTGGAGGACAGGGCACAACTGCTCTGCTGGGAGATGCACAGGGGCTCCCTCAGGGTCTCTGTCCTTCCTTTCCAGATGCATCAGCTGCTCTGTGCCATGTTTCCCCTTGGTGCCATTTTTCTTCTGTTTCAGAGTATTGGAGCAATTCCTTAGGTCCTAAAGGTCGATCAGGAGTTTCTTCCTCTTCAGAGTTCCTGCCCTCAGATATCTCTCCCTCATTCATTCTCCTTTCCCACTCTGCTTCTCCGAGGCTTTTTTGTGTGCTTAATTAGCCCCTGGAGAGCTTCCAATATGATTTCATTTTTCTTACTGTGTCTTTCTACTTTGAATCTAGCTATAAATAGTCTTTATTTGCCTGGACAGGGTTGTTATTTGCCTCCTTACAGTCAGATAAAAACTCCAGACTCAGCATAACACAACTGGGCAGGGCAGATCCTTTGCCTCTTGTCTTTGCTTGCAACCACCAAGAAGGGCATTTCTGGACAAGACTGGATATTTCCATAGATGCTGGATCCTGGCTGAGTGCATTCCCGCCCACACTAGAACTCCCATCACAGTCTGAGCACAGTAGTTCCTCTCCTGCTGTCACATGTGAGGACAGTTTCCTGTGCTTGTTTCACAAATGTGTGCTTTTTCACTTTGTACAAACTTGCTTCTGGGCATGGCCTGCAAGAGCATAGCTTTGTTTCATACAGCCACCTGCAGGGAAAACATAGTGGGGAGCCAATAGGTGGCTTTGCATATATGAGGCTGTCTGCTAGCTCAGTCCCCATCTTTCCTGTCATGCATGAATCGAAAAGAAGGGGAAAGAGAGTTTGCACTAGCATTGCATTGTTCTTTCTTCTGGTTTCTAAGTGCACTGTGGTAGGCCTGACCTTTCATTTCCTCCAGACCAGGCCCCAGTGTGGTCTATGCACAAGCACAGTCTGGTAGCACTGCCTGGGGAGTGGACCTGAGGCCAGGCACCAGAACTGGCTGCCCTGGGTAGGGGAACAACCAGGACAAAATGCTAAATGTCATCTTTGGCCTCCAGCCTCACCCATCTCTCAGCAAGTCTCTTCAGCCACTGGATCTCTCCAAGGGGTCAAATGAGGAAAGTAATTAGGTCACTTCATTTATCTCAGTGCAATCTGGTGTGATCATCTTCATGAGATTATAGTTCATGGAGGCATCTTCTGAAGGGTCATATGTGCAGTTCATCTTCGCTGGATAGCAAGGAGGTCTGAGAAACAGCTGCCTGCTCTCAGGGATGCTAAGGTCCCTTCTGTCTCCTCAGAGATGGCTACAAGTACCCATATCCACTGTGATTTGGAGAGGAGAAGCAGAGAGGTTGGTGGAGGACCTTGTCAGATGAGGCATTGTACAGAAAACTGTAACTGTCTGTGCTTCTCAGGGAATACAGTCTCTGACAGATGTCCCCTGCAGCAGATGGGTGGGCAGGTCCCTCACACTCCCCCTGTGAGGGGACAGGTATGGTGACTCACCAACACCCACCAAAAAAAGACTTCACACCCATTTCAGCTGTTTTCCTCAAGGAGAACCACGGAGGTGCTGATGCCCAAAGGAAGATGGGGAGTGTGAGGACGTGGTCCATGCTTCCCGCATCAAGGATGCAGCTGTTACTGCCACATCACCCATCACCTCTCTCATCTCCCCCTTCCTTTTCTAAAGGAATGTGGCGCAAAGTGACCAAGACCTGTCAGATCTTTCCTGAAGTCTTCACAGTGACCATCAGTGAAAACACTGATGATTTCTACAGACCTGGGATCCCCTACACTGGGACGGTAATGGGGCTTCCCCACACCTCGCAGAGCTCACCCCACACCCTGCTACACCAATCCTGTTCCCATGCTGCCTGCCAACCTCACAGCCCTGCTCTCCCACCCTTGCCCTCTGCCATGCAGCTCGACCCCAGAGCTGAGCATCTCTCCTTCCCTTCTGGCAGAGATGCTCCTAAGGAGAGCTGACGGCTCCCCACTGAAGGAGAAGCAGCTGCTGCTCATTGTTGCATCTGGAGGGAAAAACACAAGACAGGTCTTCCTGACAGACGAATCTGGGAGAGCCTCCTTTGAGCTGGACACCTCTGGCTGGACTCAGAATGTCTCCCTGAGTGTAAGTAAGTGACCCATGTCCCAGCCCCCTGAGGCCCTTGCCCTGCTTTCTCTGGTTGAATGGGGCTGGACACCTTTTCCAAACAAGCAGGAAAGCTACTTGCATCAGTGGTGCCCAGTGCTGGTGCCACCCCCTCGTGGGTGGCTGTCTACTCTGCTGCAAATCTCACAGTTGTCCTTCTCCCCTGGTAGGCACAGCACAAGGGCAATGGTGGGAGCTCAGCTGCTGCATCAGCTTATTGCTGTGGAGCTCTCTTCACCCTTCAGCACCCTGATTTCTACCTCCCGTTGATCAGGGTCAAGTCAACGAGACAGATCAGGTCCAGGAGTACGACGGGCCAAAACCCAGCTACCAAAGAGCCTTCCTCTCTCTGAAACCCTTCTATTCGGAGAGCCAGAGCTTCCTGGGAATCCGCAGGCTGGCAGAGGAGCTGCCCTGCAATCAGGCCCACCAGCTCCAAGTGGATTACATCCTTGCCAGGGAGGCCCTGGGGACTGAGCTCCAGAGCGTGGACATAGTCTGCCTGGTGAGCCCGCGCCAGGAGGGAGGGGAGTGAGGAGGGAAAGGGAAAGCGTGAAGGGCAAACGTGAGGGGAGAAGAATAATTCTGCCCTGTTGGCTAGGCTGTGGAGTTAACCCTAACTCTCCAGTGGGAGCTGTTTCCAGCCAGCCCTGGACAGGTACTGTCCATTTCAGGGCTTGGAGTTGGACTCTAGAGCTTGTCGTGTCTTGGGACACCATTTCCGTTCCTCCTGCAGGATGCCGCCCTGTCAAAGTCTTTCCCCTGCCTAACCGGCCCCCATGGCCTAGCCTCATTAGCTTGTGCTGGTTCCCCGATCAACGGCAGTTCAGTGACTCCTCTGCAGATCATGGCCAAGGGAACCGTTGCCACGGTCCTCAGGAAAGAGCTGCACTTGCCGGTGGAGGCTGGTAGGTCCTGAGTCATGGGCAGGCATGGGGGCCCAGAGCTCTGTGAGCACCAGACATCCAGGCCAAGGCTCAGGGCTGCTTCTTGGGCTGATTTACTTCCACATTTCCCTTGGCCCAGGGCTGAGAGGCTCCTTCTCCCTGGAGCTGCCTGTTGGGCTGCAATTGGCACCAACCGCCAAGGTGCTGTGCTACGCGGTGCTGCCCAATGGGGAGATGGTTGCTGATAGCACCAAGCTCCACGTAGGCAAGTGCTTCCCCAACAAGGTGAGTGAAGGCTGTGGGAGATGAGAGAATTGCTCCCTAGCCTGGCTGGGAGATCTGGTCAGTACCTGCATTGAGCCTCACTGTTCAATGGATACAATTCTCATCTCCTGCCTTCCTAACTGCAACTAGGCAGCCCCATACTCTTCCTTCCCCTGATTCTGGTAGGGTTTTTTTTCCTCTCCCATTCCTACATTGTGAACTAGCTCCTCGCTTTCCACCTCTTGCTCTCCATCCTCCCTTGTTTCTGGGGGCCAGACTGCAGTATAGAGGAGATAGCCCTTCCTGGGACTGTTTTCCCTCTCCCATCTTCCTCTCCTCAGGTGAAGCTGGACTTCTCAGAGAAGAGAGCTCTGGCAGGCTCAAAGCTCCATTTGAAGGTTCAGGCTGCCCTAGGGTCCCTGTGTGTTGTCCATGCCATGCATCAGAGCATGCAGTCCTTGAGTCCCAAGACTAGGCTTACCTCTAGCACGGTGAGTCCAGAGTAGCCTAGGTGCCAGGTTGGTCCTTACCACAAGGAGCCATTTCCCCTTCACGGGGGACCCATTGATGGGGCACAGGGACCAGAAAGTTTTTATCTGTCCTTGGTTGGGGAGGAAAGTAGGGATTGTGGAGTGCAGGTGGTGGGAGGCATCCCCTGCCCTTGGGGAGAGGAAGCAGCATCTTGCTCCCGAGAACCTCAGGGGTGGAGGAGATGGGGCAGTTACTGGTTGCCACTGTGAAGATGGGGCTGGCTGGCAGGGCAGCAGCACTGCTTGGCCCAGAGAGGCAGAGGAGGTGCTGGGGGTGCGGAGGAGGTGGCAGAAGAAATGTTTTGGAGCTGGGCTGGGAGTATTTCAAGTCTTTCTCACACAAAGTTCATGTGTTTGGTTTAGGTCTACAACTTACTCCCTGAATTTCCTGAAGAGTACTCCGTTCAGAAAGTCCAAGAACCTGATTTATCTCATTGTTCCACAATCTCTGGCATTAAAGCTTTCAGTCCAGTCCCAAACTGTCTTGCTGCGCCAAAAAGTAACTGGGGGAAGTGCCTCAGAAGGCGTGGTAGGCAGCTACCCAAGCCTTTTAGTGAAGTAGACACCTACAGCCTGGTTACGGTAAGGAGACCTGCTCTTTCCATCACTAATACCTGTCTGTGCTTGTAGAAAATGGCATAGAGTTATCTGCTCACTCTATGCCTCAGGCTGGGCAGAAAGCACAGCACTGGGGCACACAGCCCATTGTAGGTCATTGATAGCAATAAGGAAAAAATAATGGGGAAAGTGTTAGTTGGATGATTTCTCCACAGTGAGGTGGAGGGGCTGGAAGGGTCTCCAGCTGGGAACACTGTTGGGTCTAGACCAGGAAACCCAGGGATCAAGGCTGCCCAGGTATGAAGCCAGAAGAAGAGAGCCAGCATGTCTTTCCCATCTCTGACCCTAGAGCAGCAGTTTCCCCTTTCACAGATATTCCTCTCCTTTGCCAAGTGCTGCACTCATGTTTTAGCAGTGCAGGTGGGCCCAGAGCTCTGTGAGCACTGTTTTAGTATTGGACTTTAAGCTTGTGATGACTCCTTGTTTCCAAGGATAATGAAAAGGCATTTTGGCTCCTCGGGGCTTCAGCATGGTGTTATTTTTTCTTGCGTGTCATGTTTCAGCGTGCAGCTTTGAAAATTGTCACCAACACCAAGATCAGGAAACCCTGTACAAAACATAGTCCACTGCGAAGCCATCGAAGCCTTGCCATCCCTCCAAACCCACAAGGTGAGGGGTGACAGTCTGTAATACCCTTCATGGTGCTATAGGGACCGCTGTGAGGTCTCCACTGTCCCTGGTGGGAGTGGATAGCAGTGTGCCAGCCTGAACTCAGCAGAAGAAGCCTTGCATGACTCTCAGACTGCCCAGCAGAGTCCAGCCCCATCAGTCAGAAAAGTGAGACCTTCCAGGTGCAAAGAGATATGCCCCTGAACCGGGACCCTCTCCTTGCACACCTGTTCCTGGCTGCCAAATGACAGGTGGGGTGTTCTACCTCTTTCTGTGCCTTCTGGCAGTGCCCACATCCACAGGAGAAAGAGTGAAGCGGGAGCCTAAACAGGACGATGTCACAGAATCACAGAATCACAGAATCACAGAATC